ATTAATGACTTCATATGCATTGTCCACATACTTCTGATACTTGGAAATAATCCTAGAAGATTCAAGTCTATTAAATTTACCTTAGTTTTTAACTAAATTTATTTACTTCTTATAGATTAACATATTCTTCAAACTGCAGGCAATCAAATAAAACAACCAGAACCTTTAAATCTTCATATAATCTAGAAGGATGAACTTTGCTCTTCTCAGTTCCTTTCTCACATATGACATGGAAAATATTTTCACACCAACCTACAAGCAGATTAAGTGGGAAGGCGAGGTAAAAGGCTGCTTGGCTACATTAAAGGTAAGATTCAGTGAAAACTGGATGAAGCAAGAAAAGCTGCCAGTTTTAAAACTATGTGAAAGGAGAGCTTATCTGAATTCTGTCAATATAAAATAACTTTGACTGTTATTAAATGCATATAATCATTTGTTTCCAGAGTGATGTGAATATTTGCCAAAAATAGGTCACTGCTTTTAACTACTGAGATCTGTTCTGGTTTAACTACTGGTAGCATTGTATCCTAGAAGCAAGAAAGGCTCTAGAGAGATTACTTTCACTTTTCCCTAGATATATTTAGTGTACTAACTAGCATAGTTAGGATATTATTTTTCTTTGGTTTTGTCAGTAGCATGTTTGAAATAAATTTTATTAAGTGGTAGTGTATGTAACATTGCATTGTGGGTAGCAGTTTCCTGCCTTAACCTAGCCACATCCTCAGCTGTTATATGAGACAAGTTTCCCATATTTTCTGCAAGTTGACTTTAAAAAAGGAAAAAAAAAAAAAAAAACCCAAAGCCAAAACATGCAGGAGAAAATAGCTAGAATCTTAAACACCATATACTGACTGTTGAGAAAGCCTGTGTCCACCCAAAAGGGCACTTTTTTTTTTCTCAATAACTGTACAGTATTTGAGGAACACACGAAAAGTAACAGTTTTCAGAATTAACTTATGTGCAGCAACAATAATGAAGATGAGACCCATTTGGCCATTAAGATGTAGCCCCTTATTCAAAGCCTGATCAGAGTTGGATTATTTCACTGGAGAATATATTTTATATTCCAAGAAGCAGCAAGACAGCTGGCAACTGAAGATGAATAAAAACAATTTATTACTACTCATTATTACATGATGTACTCACTGGTTAACAGAACATGACCATCCTTTTAATTTAAATAACACTTCAGTTTAAGGCTTAATTTGATTCCTCAGTAGCCTGATTCCACTGTACAGAAAACAGACAACATTTACTTATACTAGAGGTGTAACAACAATTTTTCCCCCTCTGTATGTTTAGTGGTCTCAGGCACTGGCTACTTCAAACCATATCAAATTTAAAAAAGGCTATATGGCAGAGAACAGAAAGTTATCATAAAAAGGCAGCAGTAACACTTCTCCAGTAAGTAGTATTTTTAAATGAAGGACTACTAAAATAACCTTGTTGCTATGATATTTTTAATTAACAAGTAGTTGATTTTAACAGATTAGTATATGTGATATCAGCATCCTTGAAGCTGTTGGAGGTATGTTGGAAATTCGAAGTCTAAGAGATAGCCACATGTAGCAACAAAAAGTTTCATAAAATGCACAAATACTCTAAATGAAATGGTACATTAAATATACTAGCTAAGAATCATCAGAAAACACAGTGCTATACCTTTAAAAAATATAATTACTTATAAGCTATAAAAAATGGAGCCAAGGAGAAAGGTCTCACTCCCCAGATCAAGGCGGGAGGGGAGAGGGGGGGAATGTTGCTCTAGTGGAAACAGATACGTTAGTAACACCTACAGTTAATACCTAACTGCATTAGGAATTTCTGTATTACAAAAATCAGCATCTTGTTATAGCAGATACTGTAAAACTTGCAAGTAAGTGCAATTTAACAAGTTTGTCATCACACTGCTTTAGGAGAATATTTATCTCTCTCCAGTTGTAGCACAGAAACAAACATTTAAGTACAAATAAACTTTCAGCAGGGTATCCTACTGTTTATATGCTATATGAACTTTGAGTGACATAAGGCAAAATGTTTGGAAATAAAGCATGGCTTAAATGTTTCAAAACACATTTCAGAAAAAAAGTGAAAGATGTAATTATCTTTCAGTGCTGCATTACAATTGGTTTAAAATAAGATTTCATTTGCTGTCAAAGATCAAGCTCATAGTTTACCAGAGAAATTCCTTAACAAATACTTCCTTTGTAAGTGTAATTGGGACTTAAAGCATCCCCCTATGGAACACAAAAGTTAATTTTGAATTTTGTAGATTTACCTTTCAAACAAAAGGCTGTCAAGCATTAGTCTACAATCAAGACACTGGCTTTATAGTGGATTTTCAGAATTCATGCATTTGCTTCATTAGAAGTGCAAACGATACTGAAAGAAGCCGTCAGTTTCCCAGGTATTAGGTCTGCCTGAAGTTTAGCTTCACAATGTCTCTATACTAAAAAACTTGCATTTTTTTCAGTGACAGTTTCTGCAAACTATGTCTCGATTACTCGGTTGAAGTCTTTTTTCTGCTTTTAATGGATTTTGTCTTAGATGAAGACTTCCCTGTAGTGGTCTTGATTGACAGGTGAAAAAGTATGCACAGTAAAAAAAAACAACAAAATCTTAGAAAGGTATCCTATCCACTCTAACAAAGTTAGAGAATGCACACAAGTGAAAGCAGCAAAAACCCATTCCAGAGAAAGCCAGAGCACAGTATTTCAATGTAGTAAGTTTTAAAATTCAGACTTCTGTAGAAAGTTCAATATGCTCATACTAAAGACGTAACTAAGTTCTGAACTTTTAAAAATCAAACAACTGCATTTATATAAATTAAAACAAGTACTTAAGATCAAGACACGAGTCACCTATTCTATAAAAATACTAAGTCTACCTATCACCAAACAGAAGTTGATAAATAACTTCAGTGCATAATTGTAGTTGAAAAAAATCGTGCTTACAATTAAGACTTCCACAAATCACAGTGGCAGCAACCTCCAAAAGCCTTGGCTGCATCAAAGGTCGATCAAAATTGTAATGCATACAAATGTATTTTGTTTATATGAGAGGATTATCATTCTGACCATCTTTTTATATCCTTAACTTTTTTTCATTGATGCTCTTAATCATACTGTGAAAATCTAAAGAAATAAACGCAATCCATCATTAGGAGAATTAAATATCACCCTTACTTTTGCATGAGATGGGTGATTTGCAGAATACTCTGTCTTCATTTTAAGGTAGAATTTTATAAATTTGACAATATCTAGTAACCTTCAAGGTTTTTATGGAAAGGGTTTTATGTTGTTTTAATAAATCAAAACACAATCTGTAATTTTTACTGATATCTCCCTTTCCGTTTTCCCTCCATCCCTGCAAAACAGAGAACCTGCTCTCCACTCACACCTCCAGATACTCATTTCACATCATTTGTGGCCAGTTTCTTACTGGGAAAGCTAAGGACAAAGAGGAAAATTAAAAAGGAGGGATGGCAGCTTCAAAGAGATGTATTTTTATTTTACAAATAAAAGTTGAACAATATCTAGAAAACGTTTTACACAATTCTTCTGCTCCCAAATATATATATATGACAAAAAACAGAAGAGAAACATTTAAAAATCACTCAGCAAAAACTAAATAAATACAGTGCATCTACGACAGAATCAGGCTAATAAGAAAAGTTCTAGATATAATGCCCAAAGAGGCAAAAAATAAGATACTTTCTCAAAGATGTTTCCAATTTTGTTCTGCATCTGAGTGAACAAATCAAGACTACTAATACACACTGTCTGTGCACATTATTCCTTACTACACACAGCATTTTGCAATTTATTTCAAAGCCTCTATTATAAACAAAAAAATACTGCTTTTGTTAACCCACTCTGTCCTGGTACAGTAAAGGCTTATATTACACAATCAAAGTCAAAGTTACAATATGTTAAGTATATAAAAAATATTATACACACATGCACACATATGATATTAAGTACTAAATCTTACATATGCATCAAATTTATGTTTCATTTTAAAACTAAGTGTTAACATTAACTGGTGAATAAAGTCATTTATAGTCTCCCAAAAAGTCTAGGACTGCTCTATTCCTCTTAAACACTGAAACTATAATAAGCAATTAATGTAAAGTGCAATCAAAACCTGCCAACTCTCACAGTTCATTCTGTTATGCAACGTCTACATTAAATCCCAGCCATACTGGTATTCAAAAGCATCACTTATACTACATTACACAACTAATTATGATATCCAAATGACATATTTTGCCCCAAATATAAAAGAAACATAATTGCCCTTAATTTGCATTACATAAAACTGCCAAGTAGTTTTGAAGGCATGTAAAGCAAGGCAGACGTGATTTAAGATTTGCAAAGGAATCCCCAGACTAACACTTCTGTGACAGCCAATTACAGTAAAAAACACAAGCCCAACAATCAGCCTGCTACTAGACCTTAGGAAAGGTAAAGTTTCTTACAATGAGTTACAGATTCACAAGTATAAGACGACAAGGAGAAAAAGTAAAACAGAAGGAATCCAGCCACCCAGCAAATATGAAGCAGACCCAAGATCGTGATACAATCCAAAGATGTAAATTATTGTAAATCATCACTGTTGTTCAGAATTTCACACAGCCACTTGTGCCAATTTTGCTCACTTTTCTACAGACACAATAATGAAGGAGGGAGAGGAAAGGGGATTAAAAAAAAAAAAAAGGTTTAAAAAAAAAAAAAAAAAGGAGGGGGGAAGAAGAGTGGGGGGAACCTGAACCGAGAGTACAAATAAAGTTCTGCTGTCCATATGCTTTAACTGTACAGAAGTATGGGCTCTTACAGCATTTTGTACTCTCTCCAAATCCTCATGAGTCACAAAAATTAAAAAGCTATATCCTTCTGGATGCCAGGAAGGGCCTTACCACGGGCCTTTTGTCAAAATACTTTAAAAAAAAAAAAAAAAAAAAAAAGAAAAAAAAAAAAAAAAAAGAGAAAAAAAAAAAGAAGAAAAAAGAAAGGGAGGGGGGAAGAGAGAGAGAAAGAAAAAGCCCCAGTGTAGGCAGTCCTACTTGGAGTCCTGATGTCACAGCCACATGACTCGCTCGCTCCAGTAACAGTGCTTGCAAAAAAAAAAAAGGAGTTTTAAAGCTTTTGCTTTTTTGGATTGTGTGAATGCTTCATTCGCCTCACAAACAACCACAGAACCACAAGTGCGGTGCAAACTTTCTCCAGGAGGACAGCAAAGAAGTCTCTGGTTTTTAAATGGTTAATCTCCGCAGGTCACTACCAGCCACTGAGACCAACAGAGTCAGTAAGTGCTCTCTAACCACAGTCTATGCAGTAATAGTAGGTCCTTCAAATATTTGCTTATTCTCCCTTTTTTTTTGTTTTGTTTCCTTGCTTTTTCACATGTTACCAGTGCTACACAATTTTTTGACAGGGAAAAAACCAACTATAGAGTCTATGCAACCCAGGAACACTCTAAAACTAAAACAAGGTTTGGCTATGGTTTGTGTTTTCAGTTTGAGGATCCAAGTATTTACACCAGAAGGTGAAATCTCTGAGTGAACCGAGAGGGACTATGGCATCAAACAGCCTGTTCAGTTCAGTAACACCATGTCAGCAAAACTTCTTTTGGGGTAAGTACTGCAATATTTGAGTTTCTGTTTTCCATTGTCAGTAGTTTTCTTACTTTTAATAATGGTGGTTACAGTTATCTAAGCAGAAACCTGCTGAATGGGATGTGAAGGTGTTAAAATAGCTTACTTGGTTTTCTGGGGGGGGAGAAGGGAGAAGTCACCGTAAACTTCTGCAGATTTATAGACAAATTTGTTAGCTGACAAGCTGAGCAAAATGAAGTCCTTAGTGTTTGACAGCAGGTGTGCTCAGCTGTCACTTGGGCCAAGGTGTAGCTACACAAATTCAGAAGAGTCTAATGAGATCTAGTCTAATGCTTAATATTATCTTAGGGAAAAGATAAGTACTTTGTGAATTTACCAACAACAGCACGGAGTAGCTTATTCAGAACTCTGGTGTAAAGCCTAACACTTACAGATGTACCCACCATGACTGGTTAACGGAAGATACTGAAAGAGGCTAAAATTATAAGACTTAAGACTGCTTATTCTTTAACCCTGATGACAATGAGTAGCATATAGCAGCCTGTCCTACTCATAACTGCCCATCTTTGTTGCAGACATCTTATTTTTAAGCATATATATCACCTGAATTTATCTGTGTACATCTGCAGTTCTCTGGTCTTTTGTTGCCCTCATTGCACAGCAAAGCCTGTGATAATATATTCGTTTGTAAAAGCAAATTCTTATTACACTTATTATGAAGAAGGCAAAACATTCATGCATAAAAATATTAAGCTATGAAATCAAAAATACATGATTTAACATGCTGATGAATTTAAGCTTTAATTGAAAGTGGTATTTTAAAAACTTTGTAGAAAAGCATTGCCAAATATTTACCTCTATATTCTGAATGGTAAAAGCAGATTCCTTTAAGAAATCGTATAAATATTCTAAGGCAATTATTTATATGCAATGCATACATGCATGCCTATAAAAATCATAAATACGCTATGAAGTTGCACCTCTATCATTACTTTGAAAAGCTTCTTCCTCTCAAGCACAGTCTTAAAAACCAGTATAAAGCACCTCACGGAACATTAAATAAAACTGAATATGACTAAGTAATTTATCTGCAAGTATAAGCAAGTTTTATTTTAAAGCGTGTTGGAAAATGCTGTATTCTAGTCATCCTTGATGAGCAGTAAGAAGTATATTCAATTTATATTCAATTTTTTACCAAAGCATCTTTTACTGAGACATCAGAAAAACTGACTGAAAATTCTGAAAGATAAGACAGTAAAATTCAGAAAACTTACAAGATTTTCTTAATGGTGTCCGTCATGTTGAAACCATTTTGGGACTGCAGCTAAACCTATTTCTTTTCCTCCCCTACCCCCCTTCTACAAAAAAAAAAAACAATACTAGAACCATTTTCAGTATATGCATCCCTATTAAGCTTGTATTGTAATGAAATGATGACTGGATTTCCTTTTAACCCTCCTACTTCATACGCTTTGACTGGTTCCCAGTTAAACCCATGAATAAGCTGTAACAGTGTGTGTATGAAAAGAAATACAGAATAGTGTGGGACAGCTTCTTCCAGGAGAGAGACCAGTTTTAACTTAGGATCTATAGAGAGCAGAAGAGATAACATAATGTGTGGCTGGTCATGTAGCTATAACACACCGAACATTGAGCTGAAATACTAACACAAAGATGGTAAGTAGCTTTTCTACCAAAACTGCCGTCTTAATGAAGCACAGCAGAAGCGTAGCCAGACCACATTATCCCTGTGTTTACAACAGGAAATACAATTTACATGTATAGGGACTTTCTTTTGCTTTTACTTCCAAAAGAGATTAGAAGAAATTTAGTTGGCTAAAACTATCAAAACATGGAGTGCTGACTGCTTAATTCATCTACTTTTTGATCATTCCTAAAGCCAGGGAGAAGTTCTGTAGCATGAATACTACTTTTCCCTAAAATTCACTAAATAGGTTTGAGCACAGAAATTTCACTTTGGACACAAAGAATGGGTGTGAGGGACTATAAATCTCAGCAGCTCTATCAATACGTAAGCAATGTATCTTTAGCTAAAACCAAAGCTAAAAAAACCCAACCTTCATAAAAATGAGACAGAATATATTTTTAAAAGAACAAAAGTGAGAAGACCCAAGTTACTTGTAAATTTGCCATTTCCTACCAATTGTATGTAAGAACACACAATCTGTTCATCCTTTTTGTACTGCCTCTATCTCCTTCTACTCACATCTCCACGTTATTCCTTTCAGGACTGTTTAACTTAATTATGTTTCTCTTCAAGAATTAACTTATGAAACATAATAACAAGTCATAATAGGGAAGGAAAACAATGCTAAGATGACTAACTAGCATGGTTACTAATCTATGCCATTAACCACATTTCTGAAAATTCTCAGTTCACTTGGCTTTGTCTATCTGTTTTTGACTTCATATGAAAGAGAAAACAAGAGTCGTGAAGAGGAAGGATCCCTTCCTCATTAATGTGAATATATATATTCCTCTACAATTAAGTACATTAGAATTAACTAGATGCTGCGTTTTACATCCAGAGTATGCTAATTACACACAGGTTTTGACTGCATCATGCCTGTGTAAACCATCTAAAGCTTCTAAATGTAAGTGCATTAGTTTCAAATAGCAAAGGATATTACATTCACATCTGTATCATTTGAAAGAAAAAAAATGCTCAAAATAAAAACTATACAAAAACCAAAGCGATAGATAGATAGATAGATAGATAGATAGATAGATAGATAGAAAGATAGATAGATATATAGATAAAGAAAATTTGGTAAACATTGTTTACACAAAGTACACCAGAGAATGAAATACTTCTGAAATGCCTCCCACAGCACTTAAAATTAAAAAAACTCCCTATTTTCAAATATGTTCTGTGCATCCTCATAGGAGGATTTCACTGAAGAAAGCAAAACAGATTGAAATTTGGCTGATAATTTAATCAGTAATTTCACAAATAACTTCTGGAAGCTGACCCCAATAGACAGACATGCTAAATATAAATGAAAGTCTTCAAGTTAACAACAAAATATTTACTTGGCTTTTATTAAAACATTCTTCACTGTCACCTCGTTCTTCAAAAAAAAGAAACCGTTTGTAGATTTCAATTCTGAATTGCTTTATTATTTGGTAAGGAATCTTAGGGGGGGTATTTTAATTAAGATATTGGTAAAGAGAGGGCCAGATCCTTCTTCATTATCTACATATATAGAGCAGAATGTTCTGTATGTTACAGCTCTAACAAACTCATATTATTGTAACCATTAAGCAGACCCCTTTGTATAAAATAAAATTCAAAATACTGGGACTTAAAAAAAAATAGTATTGAAAATTGCAAGAATGGCTGTTCTCACGTGCACTGAGAAAGCTGCAAGCTTCTCACTAAGTCTTTCAGTGTGTGAAACCCCTTAAACCATGCAGAATTGCAATACACCACTTACAGGCTTCTTAGGCAGCAAAATGCACTGATCCATTTAATTATCTGTCTCAAATGAACTATTAATAGTCAATATTGTTTAAATCAACTACGCTGATGTAAAATTCACTAAGATTGAAACGTTCCAGTTTGTTAGAACACTGAAATATCCGATGGCTAAATAAACTGGGAAGGGAGGAAAAAAAAACCCCTAACACTCATTAGGGGTACTAAGATTTTATCAAACATACAGGATTAATCTCTATTGAATAGACCCATTCACAAATCAAAACTTACTCCAATACTTTCATGCAGTGCTAATCAATTACAACCTTTTTTAGTTATTTGAAATCCATGTGCTTTTAATTTTATTCATTGGTGGTCTAAAATATAATATTCAGGCCAAGCTAAGTCATTCTGTATTGCAACTTTGCTTTTTTTCAATAAATATTCATCTAGAGGTTTTCTTAGAGAGAACTGCTCATATGAAGACTGTGGTAATATTTTTATACTGTACCTCCTTGTTGAAGCAAAAGGTTAGGGGTTACCTAAATACCTCAACTGTATATACAAAAAAAGGAAAAGGTAAGTATTCACATGAAAAATCCAAAGGGACTATATTATTTATTTTTGCATTTCCTATGATTAATGATGCACCAGTGCATACTTGAAAACTGAAGTCAAAATAGGGTAACACCTCAAATTCCTTTACAAACTGTACAAATATCAAACTTCCATGCTGTATTAACTACTCTACCAGAAATATTTAAAGGCTCTGCCACCCCACATTAAGAGCATAACAATAATACTGAAATTCCTCTCAAGCAGTACGATTTCTTGGTCATGGTCAGGCTAATATTAATCTTAAAATTGCACCTTACGCCTTTATTTTTCCCTGATTGCTTTTCAGAACTCAGTTGTACTTTTTATAAACAACAAGAAGCTCAGGGCAGACTTAAGTAAATAATGAACATTTAATACTGTATTCCATTTAAGTGTAAAGGGAAAAATCAAGCAGTAAGTAATTCTTGCAAGAGGTGCTAACTATGCAGTGCACACAGTTTAAAAGAGTAAACAGAAGCTAGATAGTAATATCTGTGTTTAAGGACATCACACCTTGTGGCACACACCCATCAATAGGTAGCATTATTAAACAGCTACAAAGAAATACTTTCTAAAACTCTTAACACCAGAAGCTGAAAATACAAGCAAAATCTGGCATTCTTTTCTGCAGAAGTCCAGAACACCCCGTGGAAATTAGAGAGAAAAGAGAGGAATTATCCTTAGCTTGCCACGCTGCAAAGGTGTTGAGCACCCACATTTCTCCTGCTCAGCTACTACAAGAGCCAACGGCAGCTGTCAGAGCAGAGTATCTCTTGAAAATTAGACCGTGTGTTTTACTCTATGTACCTCATAAAAATCATTGTGTGTTGTAGGTGATGGAGTTGGTTCTGAAAACTCATTAAATACACTCCATTAATAAGAATTACAATAAATTGCCATGTTTAAAATGCCCTAGAGTATATATTTTAATTAAGGCAGCCTCAAGATAAATAGTGAGTTTAAGACGATAAAACCTGAAGCATTTTAAAGTTTTAACTTCAGCACTGAGAGAATCAAAGTTTCATACAACCAGTTAAGAAACAGCAGCATGAAAATATTCAACTCTTATTTTAAATATAAAAACGTTAATTTGTCTAAATGGAATAAATACAACATTTATTCTGATAAGTGTACTCAGAAATAAACTAGTAAAACATGCACTATTTCAAAGACATTTTCCTTGCAACTTCTGCCAGACTTAAGACTTAACCACAGATTTTCATCCAGAGGCAGCAGTCACCCACAAAATGCAGAAAGCATCTACCTCCTCCACCACAGAACCCCCACAAGAAACTACAGTTATCAACAAAATTAATTTTTGCTCACATTGCATACAATAACTTTAATTTGTATTGTATACATTGACTACAAACTGCCTTACAAAGTCTTACGGAGAACAGACCGAGTAGGTCTGTCTTCCGTTCTCAGGTGTTTTTGTTTTTAAGTTAATAAAGCTTAAATCTAAGAGCACGTTTCCTTACATAAACATGCTCTCTTCTACAAATAAATATAAGACCTGCCACTTAACATACTGAAAAGCACACCCTAAAGAGGATATTTTAAAGATGAGCACAAAGACAAAATAAACTCTGGTTACTATATCGTAAAACACTTTAACACTTCCAATAAAACAATCCATTATTCATGCATCTGTTTCCTGTATATATTTTTTATTCTGCTTGTTGCCATACTGTGTACTGTTCTAGCCCTCCTCATGTAGCTATAAGTTTCCTATTTCATGTACAAACTTGCCCCAGGAGGGAAAAACCTATAGGCTTTCTACTGACTCTCTTTAACTGCTGAAGTCCTTTTAATCAGAGCAATTCAATTATTCTGCACAACCTACTCCTTATTAAACATTTTTATTTATAAAAAAATAGTTCTAGCATATTAAAAGATTAAAGAGGAAAAGGCTAGATTTTCCTTTAAATACACAGGGTGCTTTAGAAAGCAAGGTATTTTGGTATCATTTGATATTTACTGTATTCTTAATTTTCTTTTAAGAATTTTTTTCATCTCTAATAAAACTACCTTTATTTTTAAAGCAAAGGCTAAAACCAGTTTCTTCTGCTGTCTGTCTCTTAAAAATACCATATTCATTAAGGCTAGGCAGTTGTGGAATCAACAATAGCTTTAAGTTTTAATATGTTATAGCTAAAAACCCTGTGGCAAAAATATTTTGGCAGGAATTCATTCAAATATGGTTACTATATTTATGATAGACACTGGCTTACTTCACATGTAACATTTCATCAGAATCGCTAGCATTTCATAATGGCTTTAAATGTATTATCATTAATTTTCTTGAATAAGGAAAGTTAAAAGCTGATGACCTTACATACATTTATTTTCCCCAGAATTTATTTGAACCGTAAGTATGCCAAACCATTGTTTACTTATCCCTCATGGTCAGATATCTTACATCTAAATCCACTCTGTGGTTTACGAAGACAGAGCTACTGCCAGTTACATAATATCTTACTGTTCAGAGGAAAATGACCCAGCCTCGATCACGAAGAAAATTAGTTATAACACTAATGTCTTTGCGTCCATACATATAAGCACACATATACACCAATAATAGTACACTGGGTGCAGTTGTTCTGAAAGTGGGTGTTGCATAGCAAACCGGAGCAGGATGATGTTACAAGTCATTATTACTTGTTGAATTGAATTTCTTCATCAAACACATTTAATATATATGACCCTATACAGTAAGCAAAAGAGAGAGCGGGTTGTTTGGTGGTTTGTTTCTCGGGTTTGGCAATTTTGTTTTGTTTTGATTTTTTTTAAAGGAAAAAAAATAGAAAAATAATTATGTCTGAATACATTCACTTCCATGTAGTGATATTCCCAAAATAGCTTTAATTCATTTAACTAGAAATCAGAGAAGACAGAGTTAAAAAAGCATGATATTTTAACATATCCATGTGTGGTATCAGAACAGGGTATTCTTTCTTTTAAGAAATGTTAATGAGCTGTGTATGTGCAAAAATGCATGAGCATACAGTTCAAACTTCTAGTTCCTCCTAATCCATACTTCCAAAATTTTGAAATTCTTCACATAAAAAAAAGTGTAAATTTAGAAAACTTGTCTATTGGTACAGTATTTTCTACCCTAACAACGAAGCTGTAAAAGAGAGCTATCACATTCAGATTTGCCAGTGCAAATACTCAAAGAATGCTGATAACTCTTCATGTATCTCTACTTACTCTGCTAATATGCAGTGTAGGAACTTGCAGCAAAGGTCTTGTCTTAACATTTGCAAAGAAGAATGTTCATCACTGCTGTTATGCTGTTCTACATAAATTTCTAGTGCTAGTAGTGAAA